GGCCCCCGCCGGACAGATTCTGGAGCCGGTGGGGTCCAGGCCAGGGTTTTTCCCTCCCTTCTCCAGCCGTCGGGGTCGCGCTAGCCTGGGGAAGGGCAGTGCCAGGGGCAAGACGGCAGCGCCAGATTCGCCAGATTCGCAAGTGAAATGGAGAGGGGGATGCTTCGGGGAGGAAGAGGCATGGCCGAGGAAAAGGGGGGCTGAAAGTGGCCCAGGGAGGGCAGAACCAGAGCCTCAGAGGCAATAGAAGGGCGGGCGCCTTGGCACCAGCCCTTAGGTACGAGAAACGAACGGCGCCCAGTGCCTTGGGCTCGCGCCGTCCCCCATCTCAGGGGGTCGCATCCGGCGTCTCGCTGGACCCAACTGGATCTTTCAGCGGCCGGAATGCCATTCCCCACTTGAGTCTCGACAGTCTTGGAACCTCCTGTTAGTTGCTCAGTGACCCCCTCCCGGTTTCTCTTCTTGTGGTCCACACAGCTCCCTTACTCGCTCAGACGTCGGAGGGGGGAACCCCGACTTGAAATTCCCGCCTACCCCCCAACTCCGGGCCTTTACCGCGCCAAACCACTGAGACAGCGGCGGCCAAGAAACGCTGACTGGGGGCCCCGCCCCCTCCCACGAAACCCCGGCCGGGCCCCAGGGGCCTGCCGCCACCCCCGCCCCGCCACCAGGCCCTGACTGGAACTGGGAACTGGAGGGCAGGTGTGAGGCCTGCAGGGGCCTCCTGGGGATAGGGGAGCGTCCCAGATCCGCACGTTCACACTTAAATCTTCAGGCGACCAGCTAGACCTTAATTTGAGGGAGAAAGCAGCAGGAGGTGGGTAAATACCCGAAGAGTGAGGTGTTTGGCCAAAAAGAGGGATGAAAGTCCCAGTTGGGAGTTAACCCCTCGTAAGGAGGACTGTATACCTGGGGCTGGGGTGAAGGCCAGGTGCCCGGACTGGCTGGGCCACGTGCGCCAAAGGGCAGCTGCAGAGGAGTTAGAAGCTTGCAGAACCTGGAGGAGAGAGGGCTTCTGGCGGGAAGAAAGGCAAGGCTTTGCCTCGGCGGGGTCCTGAGTAAGTGGGTCTGGGGGCCTGTTTTGGAATGTGGGGGTCTGAGCTGGAAGCGGAGCGTCAGCCTGCGCCAGGCGCCCACCTCTGCGCGGCTCCCCCCCTTCCCCCAGGCTGCCTCCGCTTCCCTCGAAAAACCCGCCGCCCAGGAAACCGCTGGGGGCGCTCAGACCGCAGCCCTCCCGCCTGGCGCCCCCCGGGGCCCCCACAGAGACCGCCCAACCCACCTGAAGGGGCCGTGGCTGCCAGGGTTGCCCCCTCCCGCCGACTCCCCCCACACCTGCGGGCGGCACTATTTATAACTCGGCGCCTATTCCGGGCCTCTGGGCGGGAGCCGGCTGCGGCGCAGCGCTAATCGTCGCCGGGATCTCTGCGCCCCCCAGGGCCGGGGGAGATAAATTTAGCCTCAGGAAGCTCGGGGGAACATTTTCCAAAACTCCACGTCCCAGACAAGGCGAAACAGAACCCCTCTGCCCGCAGCCTCCCTGAGGCCAGCCACCAGGCGGCGCAGGTCCCAGTCTCCTCGAACCCAGCTAGGAGTTCGGGTTGAGGCTTTGAAGCTGGGATAGGTACTAAAGAGCTGAGAGCGCATGATGGAAGGGTACTGAGGTGCGGAGGTGAGAGGGGCCGGAGAAAGGCCCGCAGAATGCGCACGGCCCCGAGGCTGGCAAAGACTCTGAAGTGGAGTCTCAGCTGGGAGTAACTAAGAAAGGGGGTGAGGACTTCTGCCTTTTGAAGGGGAAATAACTCATATGCAAACAAGATGCAAATAGGAACGCAAATAAGCGCCTATGCCCTGGGCGGTCTGCGCTCTAGCACTAGTGTAACGACTGCCACCCCTCCCCCCCGCCGTCCCCCCTTCCGCCCACCTCTCAGGGTTGCTGGGAAAACGTGGGACCCTCTCGAAGATCATGACTATAATATCCAGTTTATTGCGCGCGGCTCCTCAGATCACTTCACTATGACCTCTCTCCTGCATCTGCCTTTCGCACACCATTGAGGGTCTTATATCCTATGTAATCAGCTAGGACTTCTGGATATCAGGACCCTCCTCCTCCTCTTGCTGCCTGCTTGGGGTCACTTCCAGTTCTGCCTTGACTCCTTCCCCATTTTACCCAGCCCATTCCCCTACCCCTTGTGGCCACTAGAGGGCCCCGGGGCCCCAGGGGTAGATGAGACCTTACCCATCCTTCACTATGTTGGCACTCTGCTCCCCACGCACCACCTCTAGTGAATTCCTGAGAGTAGTTTGGACACTCAAAACCTGAGCTTACTTTAGTTGGGAAGAGAACATTGCAAGGCAGCTGCCGCATCTTTTTCCCTTCTAGAGAAGTGGGGAGGTGTAGGTCAGGGAACCATCTCCTGGCCTGTGTGGATTAGGTTAAAAGGACGGAGCTGGGGTCCCCAAATGAGCTGGGGAAACAAAGAACAAGGGGAGCTCAGGGTTGAGGTGGAAGTGAGAAAGCATGGAGTGGGTGCAGAATGGGGGTGATAGTCCCCTCCACACTTTTGCTTACCTGGTCCTGCCTCCCAGGCCACTTAGGCCACCATCCCAAGCACCAGTTCAGAAGAGGCTAACTGAGAAAGGCCCTGAATCTGAGATGAGAAAATCTGGGTTCACTAAATGACTATCCTACTGCAGTGTGCTGTGGGCATGACTTTGGATGGGTCACTTCACCTCTCTGGGCCTGTTTCCTTCACATTAACACGGGATAATTACCCTTGTCCTGCCTACTTTTGAAGTAGATTTTGTAAAGCTCAAAGCACTGTGTAGTGTGAAAAGGGATCTCAGAGTGGTACATGAGGTTTTTGTTATTCTCCCCATTCCTCTCTGCCATCTTTTCACTTTTAGGGCTCTCTTTCCAGCTCTGACACCCTCCTTGCATCACTGGCAGTCTCTCTGCTTTTCTCCCTCCTTCAGCTCCCCACCACTTGTCCCATAACATGCCACAGCCCTGGGCCCTGCCTTCTTCTACCTACCATTTCCCCAGTGGTCTTTGCCAGACATCCCCTCCCCTGGCACTAGGCCCTTGGGTTCAGAACTCTCAGACTCTGGGTCCATCTCCAGGCACTGCCCCGGCTTGGCAGGAGCAGGGCCTAAGAAAGGAAAAGGCCAGAGCTTGAGTCAGGGAAGGGCTGGAGCTGGCCAAGCAGGGTACAGGCTATGAGCGGGAGAGGAGCACCAGATTCAGACGGGAAGATGAATTCTGTTTCCACCTTCATCACTACCCCCTGTCTGGTTGGATTCAGGACCTTACCCCTTCTCCCTGCTGCGCCCTGGGGCGAGGGTGGGGCATGGGACCAGGGAAGAGCACTGACCTGCATTTTGTGGATGCCTAAAGAAGGGTGCTGAGCTGCCAGGGATAAGAAATAGAGTACTATGCTGATGTGAAAAAGAATGAGCGAGCTTTAAATGTACTGATGTGGAATCCTGCACAAGGTATATTAAGGGAAAAAAGCAAGGGGCAGAACAGTGTGTAGAGTATGTCATCAACCAGAAGAACAACCATATGCAGAATCCAGACACTCCTCACCGCTGCTATTGCTAGAAGCCAGCTCTGAGCCACCAACATGTCTGGCCCAGATTGTGTCCATTGCCTCCTAATAGTTCTCTCCTATTCTACCCTGGCTCCCCTAAGGTCTATTTTCAACCTAACATAGGAGCCTTTTAAATAAAATATCAGCTCATGCTCGACACCCTGCAGTAGTTCCTCATTTCACTCAGCATAAAAGCTCAAGTTCTTACCAAGGCTTCCTAGACCCTCTGGGACCTGCCTCCACGCCCAACCCCAGCTCGACTTTTTCTTTTTTCCATAGCACCTATCTCCTAATAGCATCTATATACTTATTTTTAAAATATTTATATTTTATTTTCTGTCTCCACCCACCAGAAGGTAAGCTCTACAAGTACAAGGATCTATTTTGATCACTCTTGTCTTCAAAGCACCCAGATTGGCATACAGTAGGTACTCAACAATATTTGTTAAATGAATGAATGAAGATGCAGTATATGCATAGACTGTCTCTGGAATGCCTTCCAAGAAACTGGTAACCATGGTAACCTCCAGGGATGAGAGCTGGGGGGTTGAGGGATAGGTGTGGCAGGGAGACTTACTTTTTACTCTCAGAAGTTTTTAGGCATGTCACCTTTACAAAAACAAAAATAAAATAAGCCTAGAGAAAAAGGAGTTAACTAAGAAGGCCGAGGAAGGGCTGGTCCCTGGAAGTGGCAGGAGGGCCCCAAACACCTTCTCCAGGCCAGTGCCCCAGGAGAGAAAGAGGGGGGACAATAAATAGACCCCAAGAGGGGCCAGGGAATGCTGGGTCGAGATCCCAGGGACACTTTGATAAGCCCTGTGGCTGGCTCTGAGGTTGTGGGGGGCTGTGAGTGGGCACGTCAGTAAGCATGAGCCAGATAATGTAAATGGCTGATGTGTACCTACCACTGGGAGTAATTCAGGGAAAGCATGTGTTGGTGGCTGCCAAGGGGAAGTGAAGAGTCAATTCGACTCATTCTGGCTGTTTGCGTCCTGTGCACTGTGATAAGCCTGAGGGACCTGTGTGGCCACAGAGGTGCCATTCTCTTGCAGCTTTTGTGTGAGCTGGAGGAGCAGGGCCTTACTTCCCTGGTGAGCTGGGGCCTAGCATCAGCCCAGTGCTTTCCCCAAGATCCTCAGAGGCAAGGAACTGGCCAGACCAGGTCTTCTATTTGGGTCCCGACCCTAATGCACAGGGCCTCACAGCAGACCCCACCCAAGCTGGACCCCTCCCTGTCTACAAGTTGGGAGGAACCTGGCCTTTCCAACTCCACCCTCCCCACCCAGGCACCACTGAGTCAAGAAACCTGGCTTTCAGTCTTAGTTCTATCGAGGACAACCGCCTTCCCTCCCTGGTCTGCACTCTGGCTCCAAGAGCCTTCCAGTGCTTTTTCTGATTCCCATTTAAACATTTAGAACTTTTGGCCTCAAGGCCTCTTTATTATACATATAGTTCAGTGATTCTCAAATGGAGATATTAGGGAGCAGCCCATTTCTGGCACTAAAAGGGTATGGTAAGATCAACCATCTGGGCTGGTGGGCTCACTGTGCCAGGCTTGGAGGAGTGCCCGGTCCGGCTGCAGTCTTACTGGGGTCCTAGCCAGCAGACCAAGCTCCTGTGCACCAGAGGGCCGCCAGAGGTGGGGGCTGGGAATGGAGGCCCAGAGACGAGGCAGGTCTGACAGATGGCACAAACTCAAAGCAGGATCCGCACTTCACTCGGTGTTTGTGGCCCATCCTTGGTCAGGCACGGCTGGCCCCAGGAGTCTTGATGGGGGTTGGGCTGGGCACTAAAGAAGAGAATGGGAAGCTGAGAGACAGGTTCTGCCACAGAAGCTGCAGCCATGCCTCCTGTCTTTGCCCTACCCTGCCCACCTGAGTGATGCCAGCCATGCTGCCGGTGGGGAGGAGGCAGTTCCCTGCCGCCATTAATCCAGCAGCTCCTTGATACACCAGCAGCAGAGGAGGATGTAGGCGACTTCCTTCAGGGTCCGCCGCAGGCCCTCCCACCCTGTGCTCATCTTCATGACAGGCACCCGGAGCCCAGTGTCTCGAAGGGCCCCTCCGAGGGAGAATGGTAGGGCCTGGGCTAGGGGCTGTGCCCGGGGCTGCATGTTACCAGCAGCTCTGAGAAGGGTGTGGGAGCTGCTTGTAGTGCCTTTTATCAACACTGTCCCCACCCCCCATCAGACCTCATGACTACGGGGACAAAGGCCCCTGGGTCTAGCAGAGGGAAGGTTCTGGGCCTGAGAATGGGCTGAGTCAGCCCCTATGCACAGGGATGGAGGGATGGGCTTAGTTGGAGGAGGGCCTGGCCACTCCATCTTTCATCTTTCACAGCCAGGCCAGCTCAGCTTCCCTTTTGCCCCCCTGGGCCTCAAAACCTCAGGTGCCTTGCCTGCTGCCTCTTCCCCCAGTGGTTGGCAACCCCCTGCTCCTGCCCTCTGGTGTGCTCCCGCTGAGGCTGGCATTCAGAATCATCAGTGAGGGCTCCTTTCCAGCCTGTTCTGCCCCCCATAACCCCCTGGGCCTCTTAGAGTGAGCACTGTCAGCTCAGAGCTGGCAGGGCCTGGCCCACTTATGCTTCTCTTGGAGCAGGAAGACAGCCAAGCAACAGGCACATGAGAGGCACGGTTTATTGACAGGTTATGCTCTAGGTCAGCCTCCTTCCCTCCCTCCTGGAGCAGGCAGGAAGGGGAGGTCATGTGCGGGAGTTGCGCTCCTCATCTTCGTTCTCAAGTAGGTAGGCTGGACGGTAGGTGGGCTGGCCGCCTGGGCTCAGGCACTTCAGGGCCGGGTTCCGCACCGTGTTCTCCCGACTTCCCAGTGACGTGTAGCTGGAGCCAGGAGAATGCAGGGCAAGCACAGGGTGGGGTGGGCTCTTCCTATCCCAGCACCCTTACATCTTTCCCACCCATTCTCTTCCTCCAACACCCTTACCCTCGGTCGTAGAGGATACAGTATGGGACAAACAGTTGACGCAGAAAGTCCCAGATGTCTCTGTAGGTCCAGTCCTGGGAGGGCAGAGAGTCAGAGAGGAGTCACAAATACTCCCCACTCCCACATTTCCCCACTGCTGCCTGGAAAGGGGCCTATTCGGGTTCTCCTGCTCCCTTGGCCTCTGAGGAAGGGCCTGCTATCCGAATCTCTGGTATATCTTGCTCTGTAGGCCAAGCAATGAGGAAGAGAAGCCTTCATCCTGTCCCCTCTCCATTCCCAATCCACCCTCCACTAGTGCCTGAGCTGCAGGAGGACAGGGAGAGGCTATGTGTGTGTAAGCCTGTGCTGTCCAGTAGAACTTTCTGCAATGGTGGAAATGTTCTCTATCTGTGCCTTCTAAAATGGTGGTCACTTGAAATATGACTAGTGCAACTGAAGTACGGAATTCTGAATTGGATTTAGTTTTTAAAATTGAGATATAATTCACATGCCATAAAATTCATCCCTTTATAGATTCAGTCGTTTTGGAGTAATTTGTATTTCATTTAAATTAATTACAATTAGGGAGTAAATAAATGGCTAGTGACTACCATATTGGACAGCACAGGTCTAAGTCATTGTTTTGCCCATAGTAGAAAGCACAATACCTGCTGCTGAATTAGTGCTCAATAAATATTGGTCAAAAGGCTGCATGAACAAATAGCACCGCCTCCCTTGCATGATGGGGCTCTTTCATCCAAGCCCCCTGGCTCCAACCTCCCCGACCTGGGGCAGCCAGGGTGCAGTGACTGATAGGGGACACGAGACTGAAGGCAATAAATCCTCTTCCTAATTACCAGCAGCGGGTTGATGCGCATGAAGGAAGGCCAGCCTGGGTCAGTGGGGCTGAAGGGGCAGAGGCTGCAGGAGTAGGGGTCGGTGCGGCGGGTGCCCATCAGGACGGCCTCCAGCTGGGGGTGCCGCGTCTGCATATCACTAAGGGCCTGCTTCATGTCACCTTCAGCCTGCAGCACCTGCAGATTGTACCTGCGGAAGGATGAGGGGTGGGGGTCAGAAGTAGGCCCTGTGAGGTCCCTTTGGAGCCCAAACCTCCGGGCCCCTAGTACCTCTTGATGGTGTCCTGTAGAAACTGCTCCAGCTCAGGGAAAGGGGAGATGCTGCGGACATACAGGATCTGGAGGGGTTCTTGAGCATCAGGGCATTTCCTGGGGACGGGGAAGTATCCATAGGCTTGCCAGCATGGGCAGGGAAATGCTCTCCAGAGAGCTTGCACTATTCTTTGACCCCTGGGATGGACACCCTCCCCTTTTCCCCTTTCCTTGTCCTTCCTGTCCATCAGAACCCACTTTCTCCGGGAAGCCCTCTCTGATCTCTTACCTCTCAAATCTGGAGCACACATCTCTGTTTCAGGTATGCGAGTCTCACCTCCCCAACAGGACTGTGACCTCCCTGTGGTCAGGGATGGTGGCTTGCACATCCACAACCAAGGTCAGGCATGTGTCAGATATTCAATTAATATGGTGGGGAAATGGAACTGAAAGGTCACTATGGCTGCCTCCCTCCCAGATCCCACCCAGACACCCCCTTTCCCCACTGCTTCCCAGGATGGGGAACTAGAGAACGAGGCTGATCAGGTGTCTCTGAGCCTTGCCTCCAGGGGTTATGGCTCACCTCTGCACAGCTGCATGGAAGAGGTGCAGGAGGGCAGTGCAGTCCTTGCCCCCGTTGAAGCCCACACAGAGCTGGGGCAGGCTGTACCGAGCCAGGGCAGTCTCGATGGTCTGCAGGGCACCTGCCACTTTTGCTCCCAGAGATGACCCTGCCAGGCAGGCAGGGAAGAGGGCATCAGATAGACACACATGACCATCAAAGGGCAGTGGGGGCCACATTGCCCTTGCTTAAAATCCTTCAATGTCTTCCCAGTGTCCCTAGGATAAGTCCAGATTCCTTCATGCTGCCTGCTAGGCACTGCAGTCTGTCCCCTGCCTGCTATTCAGCCACACCTCACCTTGTTCTTCACCTCAGTGTCCTCCCTCCGGGGGTCCTGGTTTCTGTCCATTCCCCTAAACCTCATGCTGCTTCCTTTCAGAACCTCTCTCACACTCTTTGCCCATGCCCACCTCCTGGTCTGCCCAAATCCTCCTTATCACTCAGCGTATATGTCACTTGCCCACAGTAGCCTTCTCTGACCCCAGATCAAGGCTGATCTCCCTGCTGGGGAGTCCTCCTCATCACTGACATTTCATGCACAATTACCTGTTTAACGTCTGCCTTTCTTGTTAAACTACTGGTCCATGGAGTAGGGTATAAGTCTGTCCTGTTGAGCTATATCCCCAACGCCCAGCACAGTGCTGGTGAAAGTAGGTACTCAATTAATATTTATTGGAAGAATGAATGAATCAACTGTAGCTACCTTCTACCTTCTCTTGGATTTGCAGGAAGCCTCCAACAGCCCCTGCATTCCTGAGACCTAGGGTGGCACCAGTGATCTGGTACCTGCTGCCCCTCCCCTAGGAGGCCCCTACCTGACTCAGTGAGTTTGTATACAGCCTCACTGGCCTGCTCCACAGCGTTGGGTGTGTAGGGGACCAGCGATCCCTGGGGCAGATGGGCAGTCAGGTAGGCCAGGCATTCCTCCAGGGGCCCTTCTTCTTCCGAGTCCAGCGTCAGCTTCACCTGATAGTAGTTGCTGCCCCAGTCAGGGTAGGAACCTAGGCCAAGCCTGCGCCCAAAGTGTGCCTGGGCCTGGGCCAGGATGGGGGCGATAGAGGCCTCATTAGCTGCTACATACAGCTCCCGCAAGTGGAACTGAACAGCTGTGTTTTGGAATAGTCCCTTCAGCCCCTCCAGCACCCGCCGCAGCAGCTCTGGAATGCCTGGGAGGAGGTAGACGTTTCGGACGGAGACCAGTGGGAATCTGAAGGGGCAGCCAGTGTGAGGATCGGTGCCGTAATGCAGGCGGGCAGAGGAGGGCACCAGCGACAGCTTCTCCCAGCCCTTTCCTCCTAGGGCTTTGATGGCAGCTTCCAGCTCAGGGTGTGGCTTGAGCTCATCCCCAAAGGCCTGTGCTACTGCCTCAAAGGTCACATCATCATGAGTGGGGCCGATGCCCCCTGCTGTGAGGACATGGGTGAAGCGGCTGGAGAAAGAGGTGACCTCAGCAGCGATGATGGCTACCTCATCAGGGACAACAGAGACTCGGCACACCTGGACCCCCAGGGAGCGCAGTGTCCGGCACAGAAAGTAGGTGTTGGTATCCTGAGTGTGTCCCTGGGAGATTGGAGATGGGGAGGATGAGAGTGTCAATGCTGTGGTGATGAACTCTGGGCTTCCATCTATACTTATGGATTAAAATATCAATTCTATGTGGACAACCGTCTACTTTCTCACCAACCCTGACAGTTTCAGTCCCCTGGCTCCAAGTGCTTATTGGACATCTTCACCCTCTCCCTCACTATTGTCACTTTGGTCAATGGCATCCCCTAGACACTGAGCCATTCAGGCCCTTCATGCTGTCAACTCTACTTTTGAAATATCTCCCCATCTGCTCTCTTCTCTCTGTCCCTACTGCTACCAAGCAGGTCCTTGGCACATTTCACCTGGACAGTGGCGACAGCCCCCTGGCCAGACTCCCAGCCTCCAGCCACAGCGCTCTGCCCTGTGCCTCCTGAAAAACCTTCCTAATGTGTCACTGTGATTGCATCACTCTTGGCCTCAAAAGCCATTTGTTGTTTCCAACCAAATAGAGAATAAAGTTCAAATTCCTTTGCAGAATATTTGAGGCTCTCTGTCTATGGTGTGTATCCAATCTTCTTTTCCAGCCCCATCCTCTACTTCTCTACAGAGAGTTTAATGGTTAAGGGTTTGGAATAAGAGGGAATCAGGTTAGAATCCTATCTACCACTCCTAGTTGTGTAACTTCGGGTAAGTTTCTCAACCTCTTTGAGACTCAGTCTCATAATCTATTAATTGAGATTTACAATAAAAGTACCAGGGTCATGGGGTTGTGAGGATTAGTAAAATCACATATGTGATGTAATAAGCACACTGCTAGGCCTTAGTAAGCACTCGAAAAATAGGGGTCAATACTACTATTACAAATGATGCCTTGGATGACTTCTAGTAAGACTTCCATGATCATTCAGAAGGGATTTTTCCCTTCTAGTACTTTGCTTCTACTCACTTATCCATGCTGCTGAGTGCCTTGAACCATTTTCTAGACAGGCTGGATATAATTCTTCTTCTTTTTTTTAAGATTTTATTTTTCCTTTTTCTCTCCCAAGCCCCCGGGTACATAGTTGTATATTTTTAGTTGTGTGTCCTCCTAGTTATGGCATGTGGGATGCTGCCTCAGCATGGCTTGATGAGTGGTGCCATGTCGCTGCCCAGGATCCAAACCAGAGAGACCCCCAGCCACCGAAGCAGAGCACAAGAACTTAACCACTGGGCCGCCGGGTCGGCCCCTGGATATAATTCTTAAGTAATACCTGCACCTGTACCTCCTTTACACACTTGACTCCTTGTCAATTCCTTAAAGCCCCTCCTCCCCCTGCCAT